ATTTTATATTTTAATTAATTTTAATAACTAATACTCAATTTAGTTACTGGAAAACTTTTAAGTGTGTTTGGAACAACCTGCTCTTTCAAATGAAGCAGAACAATCTGCTCTTTCAAATGAAGATTTTATAACATCTAAACACAGATCAAGGATTTTGGATGAAAATTTGGCATTCAAACGGCAGGAAATGTCCCACCGTTGTAAATACACATCAGACTTTGAAGAGAAATAATCTCAAATATCAATGGATTTTCCTTTTTTTTTTTTTACATTAGATATGCTGAAATGACAATGTATTAGACATATTGGGGTAAAATATCAAAATTAATTTCACCTGTTCCCTTTTAATAAGTACTAGAGAATCCTAAAAATTGTACACATGGCTTGTAGTCTATTCTACTGTACAGTGCTGCTCTTAATCCCAGCCAGTGGCGTTCGAGAACTCCGAAGCCAGGGTCCAGCCTTCATTCTCAAGGCAGGCTTAACCAATGCTCTGGGATGCTTCACAGCCCAGATTTTAGTTCACTGCAATTAGGAAAAAGCAGTTGTGAAAAGAACTGCATTAATTACCAATGGTCAAATTCGCTGGTTTTCCAGAAAGCTGTCCACATTTTAAATCTCACTGTATTTGATTCATTTCCTCATGCCTGGTCAATTGCTCCTGCACGCACGGCAATGTAAAAACAGTGCACAAGATGGTGGGTCCTCCCTGCCCTACAATCACAGGGCCAAAAGGTACTTCTAGAAAGGGCATGGGATTTGGTGAAGGCTTTAGAGGGAGCAGTGCCTTAGACATTACCAGGAAGAGCACATAAAAGGGCTGTCACCTTTGATTTGTTGCGGAACCAGCCCACTTCGGTGTTCAGCAAAACTCTCTTGGGTCAAAACTGCAACGGAACTCATGGTTGATCTCACACCTACACACAATCCGGGAAAACCACTAAAGCAAAGAAGAATAAATCAGAAGTCAAAGTACAACCCTCAATTATCTATGAGATTGTTAACTTAAGAGTTTTAGCAAACGTTTTATTCTTTTTTACCAGCAAACTATACCTTTTTATTTTCCTCACAACCTCTGATGTAAGCTGATATCCAAACTCTCACCAAGTGATAAAAAGGGGGGAAAAAATCCAAGTAAAGGAGGTCCTAGAACAGAGGTGGCCAATCTTTTGTCTTCCCTGGGCCACAATGCAAGAATTATCTTGGGTCACACATAAAATTAACTAATGATAGCTAATAAACTAAAAAAAAACAAAACACACACACACAAAAAAACTCATGTTTTAAGAAAGTTGAAGAAATACAGCTGGTTAACTGTTCCCTCAAAAGTCGCCTGTAATGGAGGAGCTCATTCTCCACTTAAGGGCAGTCTGCACCCACTTCTCCACCCCAGGAGCCACAGAGACACAGTCTGCACCACCCCAACTGCAGGGGTGGGGGGACCATGGAACCTGCCACCTGCCTGACCCAGGCTCCAGGCACAGGTCAACGGCAGGATCACTCTCCTAACAGCGACCCTGGTTGCTCTGTCGGTTTGCTCGCTGCACCCCTTCATGCTTACAAAATGCATCTTGACAAAAAGTCAGCCAGTCTCTCCCTGTGAGGTGCGTCCAGGCCCCAAACTAAACCACCCCCAAATCTCGACTTAACCAGGTGGTTGTAAGCGGTAGCTGCGTGACAGGAAAAAGCAGCCTCAGTGCTTTGTAGCAACAGCAACAGACCCACAAACTGGGCTAAATGCCCTTGATCCACACTGACTGGTTATTCTCCTCCATTCTGTTTCCCAGGTGTGGGACAGCACTCGCACAGCACTCACGCAGCAGAGGGAACCTGGCCCAAGGGCACACGGTTTCTCAGATTAACACGGCCACAGTGCTCAGCAGGATATGGGCTCTGAAAGCCACAGCTCCCCTATTTGAAAACTGGGGTACATTTAGCATTCTGAGGTAGGAGTGTTAGCTTCCTCTCCTTCCCTCTCCCCAATTCCAGGTGAGCTCCAAACTACTACAGTGAGTAAGAACCCATTTTCTTTACACAATTACGCATCACTTACTGGCACCACAAGGCCAAGTAATAAGGAGCGAATTTTGCATAATTTTTATAACATAATTAAGACCTCTCTCCAAGTTAAAGAAAAGGCCTGCAATCCTAAAGAGAAGCAAGACCCCAATTCAGATACTACTGAATAAACATAATTCACATTTAAGAAATAAAAGATTAAACACAGATGGAAGCCAGATGACACATCTAAGGGGCACATGTCTGTAGATGGTTCCTGCTGGGAGGTGAAGCTATGGAGACATCTCTGACGAACCACGAGAAACTTGAAGGTGCAATATAAAGAAAGAAGGTACACACAGGACTAAGAAAATATGCATCCCTGTGCTCCCAGGTCCCACACACAGCCCAGGGACAGGAAGTCTTCAGACAGGGTCAAACTTACCAGCAAAACGGTCGGTAGCCAGAAAGTCCGTCCTGAGGCCGCCTCTGTCAGCCTGCCAGCTTTTGCTGGTATGGGATAGGAAGTGGGAGAGAAGAGAGAGGAAACCAGAGAAAAGTTACTTATCTACATTTTACAACCCAGATCTTTTTACCTCCCAATCAGAAAAGGTCAAGATATTACTTATGTTTTGGTTACTAACACCAATATTCAGGCAAGTTTGTCAGAAGAAAAAAAAAAACCATTAGCTTGAAACAAAACATATTACAATAAAACCTGAACCAGCTCCAACTCGCAGAGGACAACTATTTCAGGGACCTGAGGGAGTGATCCTTTAAGTGACAAACTTCTAAACTTAACCATTTTGAAGTAAATCCTCACAAAACTATTGGTGTTCTCCTGCATGGTTGCATCACCTTTCCTGTACCCAACATGACCCCTAGATGGCTGAACCAGAAGGGTTGTTGTGCTGGGCTCTGACCTACAACACAATGTGGACCTCAGGGGCTCTGCAGCGCTTAATGGTGACCAAGAGCTACTGTCTTCAAGAATTCTCTGTATATTTTGCAGTTACTTTGTTCTTCTTGCTGTTATCCTGTAAAAGTCCTTCAGTCCTTTCTAATCCACTGGGGATTTAGAAACCAGGTCATAAAATCGCAGGATTGAAAGGAACCTTCAAAGGCTGTCTGGGGAGGACCAAGAACTCTGTGAAGTAGGAGGGTGAGTCACCTCGCCTTAGGGGACTCTGGAGAGGGGAGGCTGGCGACCACATGTGCTCCTCAACCACGAAAAGGTGGAACTGCTGACAGGAGTGAGGCATGTGATGTCTAAAATGGGAAAAGCAATGACAGTAACAGGAACGCTCCACTCAACTGGAGAATACTACTAATACCCTGACAACAATCCTGACCATAAGACACATGGGTCCGGAGCTGAGAAGGCGGTTCATGGCAACGGGGGTGCATCCAGCAGACTGGATTAAAAGGGTCTCGCCCTTCCAGCAGAGGATGTTGGACTGGTGGTATTTCCGGATTCTAATCTTGGTCATGAGTTTTTTAAAAACTCTAAATACAGGGCTTGAGTCACACAGGGAACCTGCCACAAACCAGAGACACTATGGGGCCCCAGATGCACCAGACACACAGATGTACCCCAAGACTGAAGGGGAAAGGTGGGACAAACTGATCAAGAGTATTCCATTTAAAAGCATCACCAAAAAATTCTAGTTTGCAAGTTTTAAAGATTAAAGTAAGAAAATGTCTCCAAAGTGTCACAGTAGCACATTCACAACTTGGCAAGCGCTCCTTGAGATTCCAAGTGTCTGGCCAGTCTGGGAGCAAAATGGGGCAGGGCACTCTAGGCTAAGGTGCCCCAACAGGTATCCAATGACACTTGCCTCTGGTCTCCTGCATCCACCCTCCGCCCTCCCACTCTTGCTTGCTGACTATCCACCTGGCATGGTCTCTCACTCAAGGTTGTCCCGGGCTCCAATGTCACTTCTTAAATCCAGACACCCACCCCCTTATCAAGCCAGGTTCTGGGCAAGTCTCCAGTGCCCAGTGACAGCCACATTACAAGTCTGCAAAATGCAGTTCCGTCCATGTCAGCTCACATCGACTCTCCAGCACAGAGCTGTGATGAGCCAGTCCCCCCTGTGTACCTAGTGTCAGTCTCTTCTGAGACCACTCACACACCCTTCAGAAGCCAAGACCAGCCAGACCCTATACTGAAAGGAGTCTCAACATAAGGGAACCTACTCCTGTGTCTGAGGGAGACCCTGGAGCAGAGTCTCTCATGTTCCTCAGGCGAGCACAGACCCTCAGGCAGCCAGGTAAGGCAGAAGGCAGACCTCCAGAAAACTCCAGACTGGTTTGACGGGCGATACTGGGTCCCTAGCCTCCAGATTCCAAATGGCAGTTTTTCAGAGCCCCTAACGAACGGTTCACAACTAGAGACACATTTAACATTTAGGGTTCTGGTACCATCTAAACAACTCAAAAACTTGTTTTTGAAAAATGTGTTCTAAGCAAGCATTTGATGACTCACATGTAAATGCAGACCCTGTCCCCACCTGAAATTCTGGGTGAGATTTTCTTAAAAGTCTGTCTCATTCTCCTTCTGTGCTCCCAATCCAGTGAGGTGCAGCCCAAGGGTCCACCTGCCTCCAGTTCAACAAAGCAGCGCCTAAGAAGCTGCCCCTACAGCTCCATGTCCACCCCGCACTGCTATGCCCTGCTAGCGGCTCTGCCTTCACAGACAACACCCACGAGGGTTTAATCCTGTTCCATGGGGATCTTCCAGCAACCCCAAGACAGCGCCAGGCTGAGTGTGCTCTCCACCCAGCAACTCCACTTGCTATCTGAAGCTCCCAGGGTACCTTGGGCAGGCCTAGTAACCAAAGAACAGAGGCTAAATATCTGGTATCTCAGATTCTCATTGGATCTAACAATACTGCTCAAATCAGGATTGAAAGGGACCTCAGGTATTACTCTAATCCAATTTCTTAATACCACCAGAGACAGGAAATTCGTGGCCTTCTCAGGGCCCGGGTCACCCCTGCATGGCTGTAAACGTTCCACCTCGTTATGACAAAATCTACAACTTCTTTCCCCTTTCTGGCCATGGAGAACAAGTCCACTCTCCTCCAAGGCTCCTTCTGGTAGGTGAGCCCTGTCTCCTGTCTCCTTTAGTCCCTCCCACATGGCCCCAGTCCCTTTGTGATTCTGCCTCTCTCAACTACTTTTCCCATAGGAAGCTCGGATCAATCACTGTCCAGGTCCACCAAATGTAAACTTCAAACTGTCCTGAACCTGGACTTTTAATTTTGTTCCCCAGAGTGTAAAGGTTCACAGCAAAAAAGGTCACATCTCAGAATTTAACTTTCAGCAAACAGAACTAGAACTAAATGAAGAAGGGCAGGAAGCAAGACCCCTTTCCGCCCTAATACGTGTAGAGCAAAACGTGGAGTCATGACAGCTGTGTGTTACGTGGGAAACCTGGTGCTTACAAGTTTAGCACAAGTTTAACAGGTTTCTGACAGCAACAGAAAAGGCTTCACATGAAGGGTTCTACTTTTTTGCTTTTAAACGAGGAAGTAATTTAGTTGATTCCCTTGTGATAAGTCTTGCCAACTACATAGTCAGTGGGCAACAGTCTTCAAAAATAATTATCAGTAATACTCCAGGAAGAATTTCATTTCAGCCTCAGTTAATGAGACCCGCAAATGCTTTAAAGCACCAGACAGGACCGGGTACGGAGGGCATCAAAAAACCTCCGGCTGAAATCCAGACTTCTCTTCCAAAAGTAAAATTGCTCAAGACCACAAACCAAAGTTCAGAATGGGAAAATAAAAACCTGATCCACTCAAAGATCACAAGATCCAAATCTAGGAGAGGACACAGGCGACTGGCGAGCAGAAGGCAGGCTCCGCACTTCTCACCAAGTTCTGGACGTCGGCACCCATCCTGCATGGAGGAACTTTCGCAGATGCCACCTCAGCACGGCCCTCCCACAGGCCACGAGGGCCCGCGGGCGGGGACAGGCTTAAAGGGACAGCAACCCCCTCGGCCTCCCAGCCTTTCATCCAAATTCGGTATTTTTCCGTAATGTATTTTTCATCCACGACCCTGGGGCTTGTCCAAGTTGCACTCCAGGCCCAAGGAGAGCAGCTTTCTCCACCCCCGAACACGTAGACGGGCGCGGGCCCCGCGCGGCAGGTGAAGGTGCTGCGGGGACCCCGCCGCCCGGCCTGCGCCCAGACCCCCGCCCCGCCGCCACCTGGGGGGAAGGACCCCGCCGGCCTCCCAGGGACCGCCACCCCGGCTGCACACGGAGCCTCCGCCGGCCGAGCAGCCCGAGCTGGGGGAGGGGGCGCCCCCGCGGGGAGGGGGGAGGGGAGGGCCGGCCCCGCCGACGTCAGCGACCTGGGCGCAGGTCGGCCGCCCCTCCCCCGCTGTGCGGCCCCGGCCCCGGGGGCGCCCCACCGAAGCCCAGGGAGGAGGCGGGGGAGCCCAGCTTGCGGCCAAGAACGGCCCAGCGGCGCCACGGGACTTGGGAAAGTTTGTGCGCGCTCCTCCGCGCCACGGCCACGCGCAGAGGAGACTCAGAGCCGGCCCCGGGCCCGGCCCGGCACCGCCACGCGCGGTAAGCAGGACACCCGCGGGCGGGGGCCTCAGCCTGGGGCTCGGGTGGGGGCCGCGGCACCCGGGCCCCTCCCCCTCCGCGGCCTCCACGTCGGCGGCCCCCTGAGCCCGCCCACCCCGCCGGCCCGGTCCTCCCCAGCCCCGTGCCGCGCGCTCACTCGTGGGCCCCCGCCCGCCGGTCCTGCCGCTCGCTTGCTCGCTCGCCCGCCGCGCGGGAGAAGCCGGGACGCTCCGAGGCGCGGCGCCCGGGCCCCGGCTGCTATATAGGGCGGCGGCCCAATCCCGCCTGGACACGTCAGCGCCCCGCCCGCCCCGCCGCCGGGGTCCCCGCCGCCCCGGGCCGCCCAGCACCCGGGAGGCCCACCCAACTCCAGGCGTGGTTCTGCATCCTTTTTTCGGGTGGGGAAGGTGGTGCCGAGGAGTTGGGAAATTAATCACCTCCAGAAAGCAGAGGGAGCGCGCCCCGCAAGAACTCCAGCGGAAACAACCGAAGACCAGAAAGGGAGCAGGAAGGAGGGCTGCTCTGGAAGCAGATGTCACCAGTACCGCCCACCTACCCAAAATCACAGAAGGAAAACCTCAAAGGATGCCCACCACCATCGTAAACGGATGCCCCCCCAGCACGAGGTCCTATAGCGCAGTGAAGCTCCCAGACGGCTCCGGACTTTCATTCCCTCATTCCCACGTGTCTGTTCCTTATGTCCCTCACTTTTATAAACTATCTCCACCCGATTCCTTGCCAATCAACTTAATCTCCACCCAAAATATAAAACCCCCTTCCTTTAAAGCGTGCATTACTTATGGCTCCATTTCTACATAGGTGCATACACGCAAAAGAACCGGTGTGTGGCCTCTGAGCCCACGGTGGACACGGAGGACTGGGCAGAACGGAATCCCTACTCTCAGGGGGTCTCCACCCTCCGGGAAGGACTTGTCACTTCTGCATCCATTGTGTTTACTAAGTGATAACTGCCACTGTTTCTTTTAAAGGTTTAAGGGGAGTCAAGCAATCTGTAGAGATGTCAGTCTGAACCTCTGGAGCAAAGTCGCAGGTGAGCAGAATCCTGCACAGGGCACAGGATCAGCTACAGGTATCTGGGGACAAGACCGTCCCACACAGGGCAAGAGGCAGCGGCACACCCAGCCTTACCCAGGGAATGGGGTCAGGTCAACACAGCCTGCAGCCGGGCCACGGGTGCTATTGAGAATGGTGGGAGCTGGGTGGGGGCTGTCAGCAGCAGAAGGCAAGATCAGACGTGTTTTTTTCGTGGAACACCGACCCTAAGTGGAGAGTGGCAGGGGAGGGGAGGGCAGTGACAATGGCTTGTATATGTTGGGCATAATGGATGAAATACATGGCCAGATTTGGTATATATTCGGAAAGTAGCACCAAGAAATTCCTTATTAACCAGATGAGGGGTGTGAAAGAAGTTAAGAAAGGCACAGGTTCTTGGCCTGAGCGACTGGAAAGAGCTGCCCTCACGTAGGTGGGGAAAATTCAAGGAAGACTGGATGGATAAGGGGGTGTGATGCCCTGACTGGGCAGGTGGGGATGTCCAGCAGGCAACTGTATGTGCAAGGTCAGGGGAGAAGCCCAGGAGCCAGCAGAAACACCAGTGCACTTCATGACACCACCAAGGGGGGGGAGCAGAATCACAGAAGGCAGAGAACATCTGCGGCTTGAGGCAGAGAAGGAGTCAAGGATATCATTAGCAAAGCCGTGCTCTAAGTCAGCAGCATGAAATTGGGCAGGTGGGCCTCCCTGGATGTGGAAATAGGCATTCCCTCTGTGTCATTGCTGTGATTTGTTGGTAACCTTTCCATGGGGATTAACCAATCGGCAACTAGTGCAAGTGTTTTTTGCTGCTGTTTTGTTTTTGAGGGCTCAGCACTGCAGAGGGAGATGGAGAAAGAGTAAGGGGTAGGGATTCGGTCCACTGTCAAGGAACTTCCAATAAAGCTTGGAAGTCAGCACAGGCACAGTAGCTAGTACACAGGACACCGTAAAGAGTTAGTTTTTAAAACATTGTTAGCAGAAGATACTATAAAATCAAACGTTAACTTTGTGCTAATAACCGTCCAGAATGCTTCCATGATGCTCACAACCAGCATTTCCTCCCAGCAGGCTTAGCACATTGAAACTAATAAATAGTTCGTAGAAGCAAATTTTAGAAATTCCAAGGCTAGCAATATTCAGACCAAATGAAGTGTGAACATCTGTCTGTGACATTTGAGTTTTCAGCCCTCAAAGGGAAGAAGTTTGGGTCTGCTCAAGGTAGGAGGTGAGAAGAGACACCCTCCTATTCCATAAAATCATGATCCCCAAAAGGGCTACCCCCTCAGCAGAAGATAGGTAGATCAAAAAAAGAAGAAAAGCCCACCAGTGTCGAGGGGACTATAGGATGCTTTCTCTGACTATCCTGAGCTGGCAGGTAGAAGCAGCTCTTGAGCTGTAGGAACAACGGACTAGTACTCTACAACCAACCCCATTTGTCCAGGAACCCCTAGCCCAAACTGAGATATTAAAACAGAAAGCAATCGCCCTCAGGAAAGAATAAACCTAACACCAGGCTAAAAAGGATACCCACAGATCAACCCAAATGGTAGAGAGGCTAAAAGCCCAAAGCTCAAAAAGAAGGAAAGATGGATTAGAAGTAGGATTAGACTCAAGAACTTCAGGAGACAGAACTGTAAGATTCAGACTATAAAAAAGCATGAGACATAAAGGGGGCATTTTAGAAAAAAATCAAGAGATGGAACGAATGAAAGAGCTAAGAACCATGGAATGAAAAACTCTAACATGTAACTGCAGTTCCAAAAAAAAAAAAAAGAAAAAAAAATCCAAAGAACAGAGAAGAAACATTTTTTAAAATAGTTGAGAAAATTCTAAGATTTAATGATACAACATTCTTCCCTCATCCCAAAAAAGACAGAGAAGCTGTCTGGCAGGATAATTTAAACTGATCCAAATCAAAACACACTACAGTGTAACCTCAGAGCACCACAGACAAGAGCAGACCTTAAAAGCAACTAGAGAGAAAAGACAGGTTACTTATAAAGAATACTGTGAGACCAAGGGCAGACCACTTAAAACAATACATACCAGAGGATAATGGCTATATAAAAATGATGAAAGAAATAACTGTCAATTTGGAATTATTTAAGAATTCTTTTTCATTTAAGAATGAGAATAAAATAGACATATTCAAAGATAAAGCAACTACTACCAATATATCTGGGCTGACAGACCTACTGAAGGACATATTTCAGCAAGAAAATGAAAGCCAAAGAGACCAGAAAGAAGGAATACTGATAAACCAGCAACCTAGACAAAGTGAAACAAGCATTGACCCTATACTGAGATGAACAATAAAATCTGAAGGGAATTGAATTATAGATAGGTACATAAGCAGGATATGCAAGTACAAAATAAAATAAAAGAATTAAAATGCTTAGGCAGCAATAATATATAAGGTGGAAGGGGGATATGAAGTTGCAAGGTTTCAAGATTCTTACTATTTGGGGGAGAAGCTAGCCCTTGTTGAGAATGAATGTAAAAATTTAAAGACAATCTAGGAAAAAAAGAGAGTTTTTAACATTCAAACTAAACTCTTATTCAAATGGAAGTTGTTGGCAATGCTCTAGATCTTGGATTAGGAGGCAGGTTCAGCGGTGTGATTATGATGTACATTGTTACTGGTGACATTATACTGTATTAATAATTGTTAAAAGAGAGAAAACAAGAAAAAAGAATAGGAGGCAAGAGAAGTAAAAGAAACAATGAAACAGCAAGGTAAAGAACAAAAGTGATGAGAGGAATGAATTCAAACCCATCAGTAATCTAAGCAAGTGTTAACAGACTAAACTGACCAACTCTAAGAGCAGCTACAAGCCATTCAACAGTCCTAACCATACAGACGTACAGGCTGAAATAAACAGATGGAAGAACTACTCCAAGCAAATACTAACCATATGAAAGTTGGTTATGATATTTTCATATAACACAGACTGTAGCATAAAAGTCATCATTAAGAATAGAGAAGGTCAATAATTTAAAAATTCAGTAACTCTGATTACATGTATCTAATAACATAGCTGCAAAACATATAAAGTAAAAACTGAAGGTTACTAGGAGAAATTGATATATCCAAGGTTAAAGGGTGAGACTGACCCAACTCTCTTGGTAACACAGGTTGTGGGATTGGAAAATGTATACAGGATGCAAACAACACAATCTACTTTATTGAACATATGATTAAAAGTGACACTTTTTAAAAAAACCATAAAACCTGGCTAGGAGCTAAAAAAAAAAAAATTAAACAAATAGTAAAGAATTAAATCATAATAACATTCTCAGACCACCACTCAATTAGAACTCAACTTAAAAATTTAAAGAGTATGTAAGTTTTAAAACTTGCTTCTAAGTAACTCATGGAACAAGGAAGAAATCTGAAAACATTTAAAACTAAGCCATTAAGCAATTATATGTCCCACCTTGTGGAATGAAACAAGAGTGTTGCTGAAAGTCCTGTAACTTTAAGCCATCCTATCAGCGAGGAGGAAAAAATAAAACAAGCTAATCATCCACTACTGAAACTAGAAAAAAACACCAGAATAAACAAAAGAAAGGTAGAAGGAAATAAAGATAGGAAATTAATGAACTAAAAGACATATATCACAAAGGATAAACAAAACCTACATCCAAGTTTTTTAAAAGACAAGTTCAATCTCTGGCAAAAATGATTCCTGAAAAAAGAAGAGTATAAATAGACAATATTAAGAATTAAAAGGGGGTCAAAAACTACAGCAAAAATGGAGACTTGGAAAAATCATGTAAGAATTCTATTGAGAAGAGTAGTGTCAAAAACTCGAAAACAGATGAAATGGGCAAATTCTAGAAAAATAAGTTACCCAAACTGAGTTAGAAATATAGTTTCAATAACCAACCTTCCCCAATCTCTAAAGAAACAAATATAAAAATCACAAGGCCGGGCGAGATGGCTCACGCCTGTAATCCCAGCACTTTGCAAAGGAGGCAGAGGCAGGCAGATCACCTGAGGTTGGGAGTTCGAGACCAGCCTGACCAACACGATGAAACCCCATCTTTACTAAAAATGCAAAATCAGTCAGGCGTGGTGGTGGTGGGCACCTGTAATCCCAGCCACTCAGGAAGCCAAGGCAGGAGAATCGCTTGAACCTGGGAGGTGGAGGTTGCGGTGAGCCAAGATCGCGCCATTGCACTCCAGTCTGGGAAACAAGAGGGAAACTCCATCTCAAAACAACAACAACAACAACAACAAAAATACACAAAAAGGCGGGCCTCCAAATGCTTTTGTAAGGAAGCTTTGAGAGATTATCTCCCACACAAAGCTAGGGGGCTTGGACTTATCACAGACAAAGGAGTGGGTGAATCTCACCTAGGTACTTAAAAGCCAAAGCCTGAACCAATCTTGCAAACTGATCCAGAAATAGAAAAACAAATACTATCACGATAAAGTTTAATCCAGTAATGTGGGGTGGTACAATATTAGAAAAACAGATTAAAGTAACTTGCCACATTAACAGCATGAGGGGCAAAGATAATGTGATCATTTCAAAAGATTCAAATGGGCTGGACATGGTGGCTTGTGCCTGTAATCCCAGCACTTTGGGAGGCCGAGGCAGGCAGATACCTGAGGTTAAGAGTTTGAGACCAGCCTGGCCAACATGGCGAAATCCCGTCTCTACCAAACATACAAACATTAGCCAGGCGTGGTGGCACATGCCTGTATTCCCAGCTACTTGGGAGGCTGAGGCA